GAAGTTGGCGAAGTACAAGACTTCACAGGACTTGAAGTCCTGTGAAGTTGGTGAAGTACAAGACTTCACGGGACTTCAAGTCCTGTGAAGTTTTGGGCCCCCTAATCGACTTGATTAACGGGGGCTTAAACTTCACGGGACTTGAAGTCCCGTGAAGTTTTATATATTTTTCGCCAAATATTTGTAGCATAGCGAATTAGCATTATTATTATTTTAGCGCAAGAGCAATTCATAAATTGAAACCAAAAGTTTTTTTTTGAGAGAAAGGATGGATTACCAAAGTAGTAATCCAGCCAGCTAAATTAAAAAGGTTGGTACAAAAAAAGGCACTCATCCCCAACCAAGAATGAGTACCCTAAATCATCACAGTTTTACAAAGTAAGAAACTTCACCAAGTCTTTCTCTCCTACTGATATCTAGCAACAAAATATCAGAAACTATAACCCAATACCAACTGATATACAAGTTTTTCAATTTTAAACCACAAAATATATCACAAAAAACTTCCAGCTTAACTATCATTCCAGCAAGTCTATCACCCCCACCACAGGAACCGAAGCCCTCTCAACATTTGCAGCAGCCTTCTTTCTCCTCCTCTCTTGTAATCTAGTTGCACGATCAGAAATCTGTGACCCTATCCAAAATTTTGCAAAAGTCAAAATTTTATTCAAAAGTTCTAATGATCTTCTCCTCTTATTTGTAAAAATTCTATCATTTCTTTCCTGCCAAATACACCAAATAAGAGAACAAATAATCACTTCTCTTTCTATATTCCCACTAACTTGTTCCTCATCCTTCCAACTCTTCCAGATTTCTTTTAAGGAGTATACAGTAAAATCTTTTCTAATATTCATTTTGTGTTGAATAGATCTCCAAATTGAGTATACAAACTCACATTTAACAAAAATATGAAAATGATTTTCCTCTTCCTTAGAACAAAAACTGCACATCATATCTGTATGAATACCTTTCTTCTCCAAATTTTTTTTTTGTGTTTAAACCACTTCTTAAAGCCAACCAAACCAAAAATTTCACTTTTAAAGGAACAGGGAGTTTCCAAAGATTGATATATGCATACCTTACTCCTCCATCAGTAAGAAAATGATAATATGATTTAACAGTGAACTTGCCTTTTGCTTCCCAGTTCCACATTCTTTTATCCTCCCTGTGAACAAAGTTAACAGACATAATACTCTCCAACATATCAAAATATTGAAAAACCAAATTTCCAGTCAGCTGTCTTTGAAACTTGATATCCCAAACCCATTCATTATTAATTTTTTTCCTCAAACTGCTAATAGAAGCATAAGGAAACTCTGCAATATGAAAAAGCGCAGGAAACAAAGAAGCCAGAGTATTTGTACTTGACCATTTATCAAACCAAAAAAGAGTTTGATTTCCATTCCCCACTTTAACACAAGTACTACACAAGAAACTTTCAACATTATTAAAAAAAAATTTCCAGAAATGAGATAAAAGTCTCTTGCCAGAATAAAAATATTCTGTCCAGTTTCTGTTCTCAAAATATTTGTAAAAACTTATCTGTTTCCAAAACTCCATTTTATTATCAAACCACTTCCAAATCCATTTCCCCAACAAAGCTTTATTCATAACTCTTAAATTTATAATTCCCAATCCACCCAGCTTTTTGGGTTTGCACACTTCCTCCCATTTAACCAAATTAGAAGAATTCTTATGTTCCAAAGATCCAGTCCACAAAAACCGTCTCCTCATCTTATCAACTTTATCAACAAGCCACCCAGGAAGAGAAAAAAAAGACATCCAGAAAATAGGCATGGAAGAAAGAACAGCATTAACTAGAACCAATCTCCCTCCTCTTGATAAAGACTTTCCTTTCCATAAGGCTAATCTTCTCTCAAACTTCTCAATTAAAGGAGACCAATCTTCTTTTTTTAATTTTCCATGTCTCAAAGGAATTCCCAGATAAGTAATAGGAAAGCTTCCACTCTTACAATTTAACATGTAAGCCAAATTATGTTGTAAAATCTCATTATCTTCAAGAGCAATAAGCAAACTCTTGTTAAAATTTATTTTTAGTCCAGAAGCTGATTCAAAACAGTATAAAATCATTTTCAAAATTGTTAACTGTTCTCTTTTGTTTTTACAAAAAACAAGAGTATCATCAGCATATTGAAGGCAACAAACTTTCTGATCCATATTAGAAGGACCCAACCCTTCAATAAGAGAATTTTCAGCTGCTAAATTCAACATTTTAGAAAATGTATCAGCTGCCAAAACAAACAAAAGTGGAGAAAGAGGATCACCTTGACGAACTCCTCTTTTAGACATAATCCAACTACCAGTTTTTCCATTTATGTTAATGGCAGAAAGACCTCCTTTTAAGCACAAATTCACCCAATTAATCCACTTACTTCCAAATTTTTTAGCCTTCAAAACTTCCATAATGAAATCCCAATCTAGCATATCATAAGCTTTGGCAAAATCCAATTTCAAAAGAATTCCTCCCTTTCTATTATTCTGAAAGCAGTCATCAATAATCTCCTGAGCAGCTGCAACCCCATCAATCAAAAATCTGTTTTTTATAAAACCTGACTGGACAGGGTCAATAAGACATTCAAGCTTAGGAGTTAATCTATTAGTCAAAACTTTTGTGATAATTTTGTAAATCACATTAAGTAAACTAATAGGTCTGTAATCATTAACTGTTGAAGCCTCATTTTTTTTAGGAATAAGAACTATATGAGCATAATTAAGTCTATTAATCTCCAATCTACCTTCATAAAATTCTTCAAAAAGTCTCATAATATCTAATTTAACCGTTTCCCAAAATTCCTGAAAGAAAACAGCCGAAAAACCATCAGGACCAGGAGATTTATCTTCTTTCATATCAAAAATAGCTTTATGAACCTCTTCTTCAGAAAAAGGTTGTTCTATTTCACTTGACCCCCATTCCCCCAAAGGGAAGAGTTTATTCCAATCAAGTTGACATCTATGAGACTCCTTTTGCCCAAAAATCTGACTGTAATGATTAGAAAAAGTTTGGGCAATACCCTCTTCAGAAGTAACCTCAACATCATTAACAAAAACAGATGCTATCAAATTGTTCCTTTTCCTGCCATTTGCAATCTTATGAAAATATGTAGTATTATTATCACCCTCCTTTAGCCAATGTGCTTTAGACCTTTGTTTCCACATTTGTTCTTCTTGAAACAAAATTTCATTCAACTGTGAAACAACATAAATGGAGTATTTTTTGTATCGGCAACACAAGTATTTTTATTTACAAGATGTCTAATTCAAGAATCAGCCTTAAATTTAGTAACATCCTCTCCTATCTTTAAGAATATTCGGACTTAGTCTTAACGTACAGAATATGGCATAGCCTATCCTTATATGGTAAGCGGCCTCTTATGTCACACTAAATTAAGTTAGATCTCGGTTGATTGATTAAGCTAGGATAGCACTTCATGATCAAGGAGTTCGGGGGAAAATGGAACAAGGGTACTCATTGGGTCAACCTGCAGCAACACGTCTATAAGTATTTATGTAATCGTTGAATACGTAAATTTATTACATAAACACACAAATTTATATACTTTTATAATAATAATAATAATAAAAGAATCTGCTTTTACGCGAGTTCACGTGTCATGATGCAAAGTTTCCAGGTCAAGATCGCCTAATTAGGTTGGAAGGATTCCGCATAAATTTTATTAAGGACATCCGGACACTCGACGTCCTTTGTAACTTCCAAGTAATAGTGCTAACTCATATTAACAAGAGACTTATCATCAAGCAATTGGCTCCTTACTCAAAAAAAAAATAAAAAAAAAAATAGAGGAGATTTTTTTTTTCAGTGGAAACAAAAGGTGGGATTTCTCAAACAGTAATCCTCTCCTAACTCGTAACCGACCGAGCCCTTAATTAAGATATTTTTTTTGCAATGGGGGATTAGCTGTTCTAATTAACCCCGTCTTAATCGTAAACATCAGAAACGAACAGGTGTCGCCCTTATGACACGTCAAGGTCGTCGCCCCATGCGTAACTAATATAATATGTTAAATCTCGCACGATTCTTGCCCCAAATGGCAAGCCCACAGGCCGCATCAAAGCCAACAAACAAAGAAATTTAAACCCAGGGACCAAAAAATAAAAAAAGAAAGAAAAAAAAAAGAATTAGACCACAAAGGCATGCGTTGTGAAGGCCAAACAAGGGCTAAGATGTGGTTATAAACCATTCGTCATGTGGGCCCTTTCGTAGGGAACAAACCACCACCCACTACTACTTTGTTAGCGATTTGAGAGGCATTCCTCATTAGGGCTTTTAATTTTTTTTTTATCTCCATTTAACGCTTTGTCGTGTAAATAATATGTTTAGTGGGTGTCCTTAAAGGTCTAAGCTTGGGAGGTACGTGGATGCAAGTTAATGCGTCCGTACATAATTTTAAATGGGCCAAAGGATGAAAGGTGATCATCAATTTAATAATGAGATCAAAAGATTGGAAAAAAAATCTCGGACTTGTATGTCATCTAGCTAACACAAGGCAAAATTAAACACATTGTGTGATGATTTGATTCTTATATGTATACATCTTGTGCCTAGGTTGTAAGAGTAGTCATGTAAATGTATTCTTGTGTGTATATATGCACGGACACGTGGAGTGGACCAAAGGCTAATTAATTAACGCGTACACGTGACGCGTGCTATGCACGAACGTAGACGTATGTGTACGTACGTATGTATAATTACACAATACTATACACATGTCACGTACTATACATATGGGGTTATGACCTTTGTCGTTTATGTAAACAAATTGAGTACACCATATATATAAAATAGAAAGGTGATGGCAAAACAGAAAATATTATGAGCTAATGATGCTAGAGGTTTAGTGGGAGTGAGGTGCTTATGATAGAGACATGTATAGTATGCGAGATCATATATATATAGATCAACGGTATAAATAAGAAGCCACACTTCACCTCAATTGTCTCATACACAGGGTGACAAAAAAAAAACAGCTCACTAGTAACTAGCTAGAGAGAGGAGCTAATAGACAAAACCATCGAACTCAAGCTCCTCCTAAATTCTAAATAGTTGCCTCTCTTACTGCAACATTTTTTTTGTTTTTGGGGGAAATCAATCGATCAGCGTCGACAGTAATGGAGTCGGCCGTGCAATTTGGATGGAGCTCAAGGTTTGATGACGGGTGGAGGAAAGGGCCGTGGACTCCTCAGGAGGATAAGCTCCTCGTCGAGCATGTCAACCTCCACGGCGAAGGGAGATGGAACTCTGTCTCAAGGCTCACCGGTAATTAATTACTACTTTGATTTATTAACAGTGTAATTAGAGTCGTTAATGGTTTTGATGTTGTTATTTGTTCTTTGGGGCCGGGGTGTGCAGGATTGAAGAGGAGTGGGAAGAGTTGCAGGCTGAGGTGGGTGAACTACTTGAGGCCTGACCTCAAGAGGGGCAAGATTACTCCTCATGAGGAAACCATCATTTTAGAGCTGCATGCTAGATGGGGCAATAGGTGAGGCTAGCTCTAGCTTGTTGAGATCCTTTTTCCCATTTATATATTTATATATATCCAAGTTTTATGTCATGGCCAATGGCCATCTCTTTCATTGATTAACATGAAATAATATTATTATTGTTTTTTCATATATAGCATATTATATTTTCGGTGAACCATTAGCTGGAGTGACCATTATTATTATCCACATATCAACATACGATTGTTATGACTCAATTCAAAACATAATAAAATATGTACAAGTGCGCACCATCCAAGTGCTTGTATGTATCTTTAATTTAGTTCAACAAATTAATTAGTTTTGTTTTTTTGTGAAAAATGTTAACAACGTACACCTTTATTACTGACTATGATGAAGATAACCAAGAAACTATATCCATTGAAAAATTATGGTACGCACGATTATCTACTTGATTAATTTCCTCAACGTACATTAACTATCCATTGAAAAGGTTTAATTAATTAAGTGAATTTTAATTAATTAACATGTCGTCTACAGATGGTCGACAATTGCGAGAAGCCTCCCGGGAAGAACAGATAACGAAATCAAGAACTACTGGAGGACACACTTCAAGAAGGGCAAGCCCACCTGCAGGAACAGCGATAAAACGCGCGCGCGCTCGCGTTTCATCAGACATCAGCAGGAGCAACAAAACCAACATTTGCAGCACCAAGATCTCCAGCCGCAACAGCCACAGCAACAGCTTCAGCTCCAGCACACGGCGGCAATGGCGCAAGAAATTCAAGAGATGGCGGCGTACATGTTTCCAGCGCCGTATAACATGTTTCAGAATATCGGAGAGCATCTTAATGTCGGCTCGACGAGCGAAGAGGGATCGCCCGAGGACGGACCTGAGATGGCTTGGGGGAACCTTTGGAACCTAGACGACGTCAACGATGCGCGCGATGCTGCTGGTGAAGATATTGGAGGTTTTTCCTTCGGGGGTTGATGATGATGGTGGTGATGATGGTGAATAAGAAAAAAAAAAGATGTCATTATCATCATGATCATGATCATGATCGTATAGAAGTGTGATTAATTAGTTACTAATTAGTCATCATGGCAGCATGCTGTCTTTGAGCATGTTATTGCGTACGTCTAATTTGGAGGGCATAAGGATGGAAGAATTAAAGATTAATCAGTAACCTTGTTAATTATAGTGTAATTTCAATTAATGGAGGGCTATTCTAAGCTTATGTATCCTTTCTCAGTTTCAATATATCATAGTGTATATAATTATTAGTATTATTTTGAGGGTAGATAACCTATGAAGCAGACATTACATCTTCTTTATATCTATCAATTTCTCTCTTTGCTGGGAAAAAAAATTACAAATTGAAAATAATCATGTTTGAGCAAATCACCTCCACGTCGACACGAACTTATCTTGTATTAATTACGCGCTTCTGAGACTTGAAGTTATATATTGTTCCTGTTGAACACGGTTGAGAACTTTTTGTTGGATTACCAGAAGGGGGCATATATGTTGCGTGATTTGGATTGACACTACATAAAAAAGTTAACATATGTTGCCCTTTTAAGACTTATGGGGGCGGAAAAAGAAAGATTATTGAAATATATTATCGTAGGGGGCAATCTAATATATCTTTGAAGTGTTAACAGCCAGCATGTGGGCACTAAAGAATTCTTCCGCCCCTTTTTGTGAACTTAAATCACTTATTGCCTCACTATGGTGCTCTTGGTGGGCTGTAATGATGGATGAGTGTGGGGTGGGCTCCAAATACAATCATGGACTACATGATGTAGGAGCCCACTTGATGCATATAATTAGGATAAATTTTTGAAATCAACCATTTTGAGAATTTAATCAGCAAAATCGATCTAATTAGGAAAAAATTAGCAAAATCGACCGCACGTCGTGAGAGAACGGTCGGTTTTGCTAAAATGCAATTTCTGCGATACACGGGACTACTAGTCCCGACTCCCGTGTAATTTAAAGCCTTAATTAAGAGACCAAATTATACGGGACTAGTAATCCTGTCCATTTTTCATTTCCTTGGCATGGCTAATGATGGATTAGCATGCCCTAATTACACGGGAATAGTAACCCCGTGCAATTAAAAAAACCCTTCAGTAAAATCGACCGTTTTCTGCCCGCGATGGCTAAAAACGGTCGATTTTGCTCATTTTTAAGTGAGAATGTCGTTTTTGCTGATTAAACTCTCAAAATGATTGATTTCAAAAATTTCTCGAGAAACAATTGAAAAAGGCCCTTTCACTATTGAATCCTGAAACAAAATCCTATTTCCTCTTGGCTGTTGCTTCTTAATATATATATATATATATTAATATTGATAACTGTAGCCTTAGGGGCAATGGTTAAGAAGATAGAGAGAGAGAGAGGAGAAAGTGTGAGTATGGCCCTATGTTTCCTGCTTATTCTCTTTTTTCACATATACCCCTCTTTATCTCCCTCCTTATTGTCCATCCCATTGCTCTTTGACCAATGGTTAGCAAAACGCAAACTTTCTTGTTCAATAGTAGGTACACCTTCTGCATTCTTAGGATTTAGCCATTAACTACCTACATTATTTAACTAACACTTATATCTAGAATATATTGTTTCTGCTAATTGATTGAGGTGTCGATTGGGATATACGTGAAGATAAATTACCTGTTGCCCCGGTTTAACTGGTAAAAAAATTTATTTTCCCCTAATTTGATGGCAAAATGATGAAGTCATTTGAAATTCGTGGATATAAATCCAAATAAAACAGTTTAAAGGGTATAAGTCGCTACACCATCACAATACAAAGAGTATATCTGCGATCAATTGTGTTAATATAATAGTTTATGGAGTATAAGTGTGTAAACCATCATAATACCATTGATGATATACGTTGAATATTGATTTCTGATAGAGGGAACCACATTTCATAAAAGAAATGAACGTGATTCCCGAAAACAACCCAGCTTTCCTAAAAATATTTTATAATTAGAGCAGTGATGACTAGACTATAAATTCTAAACTATCTCTATATTGCAAGAAACAAAAAATGTCGGAGTCTTCAAAAAGTTCAAAGTAGCGATTACACATTTCTTTATATCTTGTAGTATGAAAGTAGCTTTGATTTCATGAACGTGCTCTGCACCAAGCCACTCGACTCAAAGTCTAGCTTCACATGTTTTTGTCGTATCAACATTAAGTTGTGTAAGATGGGGGTAATATTTTTCCACCGTTTTACCTAACAAAATAGAAAGGCAGTGAGAATGACTTGGATCAATAAACAGCTGGTGTTACAATCAGTCGCTCTTAAACGACTGATTTTCTCGGGTCATGCCGAGCCTAACTCAATTATTACCGCATCAGGAGCAACTCATGTTGCTCGTCTGATAGGGTCATTAAGAGTCCGATTAGACCGCAAACACCGTGTTATGCAACTAATCCAGCTAGCAATCGGGAGCGTCTAAGTTAATTAGGCTATGCTAATCTGACTGTTGACTTTGACCCGTGCCTACAAAGACGACTCCGGTCTGATGCCGTTGACCACTAACTGAAAGTCGAACTTTTCGGCCCAATGAGCACGGTTTAATTAGTTTTTAATTTGTACTTTTTTTTTTGCCTTTTTTAGTGATGGTGACGGGGATTAGAAAAGGGCGTAAAGTCGCCTTAAACAACTCTTTGGATAATGTTTTATCTGAAGGTTAGGTTAATTTGCAAAAGATATTTTTGGAAGATAAAGGGAATATCGGAATGGTTTTTGTTGACTAGTCAAAGCGCGTTTAATGTAGGAGCAAGTACTGATTAAGGTTACCTTTCAACTGTGATAATTCATCTAGATATTAAAGTTGGACTAAGGCATAATTTGGGGTATCAAAGTTTTTGCGAGATTAGAGGCTAAGATAATTCTTGAAAACACAAGTTAATTAGGGCATCTCCAACACAGCGACATTTTGCCGCTGTGTTGAACTGTTTCCCCTCCAACCGTGTCGCATTCTTTGTGGCACTTTGGAGCGGATGAACAGTGTGACGCCAAATATGGCGTCGCACTGTTCATCCGTGTTATTACCGTTCATTACTTTTAATTTTTTTAATGTTAATTTTTTACTTTTTACTTAATATAAAAGTTGATAAAAAGGAATATACTGAGAATATTCTTTTTTTGGTGTAAAAAATAGTGCAATGGTTTGGAGATGTATTACTGTTTGATGTGATTTTTGTACCATTTTTGTGCAAAATTTGCACTATTTTGGTGCAATAGGTTGGAGATGGTCTTAGCCCAACTTATTGGCATTGAACCTCATTGTGCACAGAGTTTTTTTTCTTAATTGGAAATCCTTACATAATCTCTTCTTAGTCACATGGAGATGAAAATGATTAAACGAAACTGAAGAAACAATACTCCACAGACGAGACAATTTAAGACCCCTTCTCATATTTTCTCTGTAGTTGAATTAGGACAATGGGCCTAATTTGGGTCCAGAAAGCGTGTAATAGCTTAGAATTGGCCGAATGGTTAACCTTGGCCCAGTCCAAAAAAGGAGTTTCTTATTTACTGATTGCTTTTTTTTTCTCTCCCCTCCCCCGAGGATCTAATATTCAAGAGCCTGTGTTTCTGTGCTGATACATTCAGCTCTGGTATCTATATTCTTAATAGTATTTTATATTAGGTTGAGTGTCGTTCTCCTTTCTTAAATTTATTTATTATTATGGGAACGGTTAATTATCAATTGGTATTTTTTTTTTTTGAGAGAAAAGGATGGATTATCACAAAGATAATCCAGCCAGCTAAAAATTGGTATTTTTTTAACACCATTTTTATCAGTATGGTATTTTTTTTAGCTACGATTACATTTTGATATTTTCCGAGTCAATTAAATAATTACTAAAACTTTATTGCCGGGGAATAAAAACCCTATAAAACTTCACGTGATGCTAGTAGTATTATCTTATTCATTTTTTTTTAGAAAAAGGATGAGATATCATAAAGATACCCCAGCTAGCTAAATAACATAAAGGTTGTTACATAACATGTACATATCCCCAACCTAGAATATGTACTATAGTTCAAAACCAACTACATAGCAAGGTTACAAACAATTTGCACAATTGGATTAACAAAAATCCCTTTAAAAAAATCCAAATCAATAAGAGGAGAGGAAAAAAAAAATACGAATTTGATAATTTAGTCTTAGGTCCTGTTCGGATTGAGATGAATAAGGGAGGAGGAGGATACGGGAGAAAAAAATTCACCCTATCGGGATAGTTTTTTTATGGATATTCCCTTCAAGATTATGGAAAGTACGAAAAAAAAAGAAAAACTCGAGCTCAAAGGCGGTGCTCGGCATGCATCGAAAGCTGTAAAGTAACTCAAACCCTCGCACGAACTGCCACGTGCGGTGCCACACGTAAGCGAACGAACGCCGAAGCCCACACCTCAACCGGAATTTTCCACACGTGTCAGTCTCTCTCCTCCCTATATCACTCCCCTTCAACCCCCGAACTCATGATACCAAAGAGTACCGAAAAGAGGTCGTATTCTGATAATTCAAAGCTCGTTGCAAAACTTGAAAGCATTAATCTGTACGTGCATCAAAAAATGGCCGGGGTGGGACGAAACGTTGCGGCTCCGCTGTTGTTCCTGAACCTGGTGATGTACTTGATCGTCATTGGGTTCGCTAGTTGGTGCCTGAACCACTTCATCAACGGCCAGACTGACCATCCTGGTAAATTTCGACGCGCATGCGTGTCGGCGTTAATATATTCTTTTTTTAGTGGACAGCGACCACTGGATAGTATTTTAGTTTGATGTATAATTCGCTTCTTTTAATTTAAGGTTTGGCGGGCAACGGAGCGACGTTCTACTTCCTGGTGTTTTCCATCCTCGCCGGCGTCATCGGCGTGACGTCGAAGCTGTCGGGCGCGTACCATAGTGGCGTGGGCCATAACGGCATTAGCCTTCGGGTATGTAAACATACAAGTGAAGTAAATGAGAGGATATGTATTCTTCAACTATAATATTTTTTTAAGGGAATTTTTTTTTTTTACATATTCCGTCGTGTCAACATACTCCCGTGTCACAAGAACCATTATCATTTATTATCAAAACATATTTTTTTTTTCTTAAAATTTATTATGTTGGATTAATTTACGTACATTTAAAGCATGTTTGCTTGTGAGCTTTGAATTTGTTAGCTAGCCAAATTAATTGAAAGATAACATTCTCTGTTATGTTTCTGTTGTAAATATAATTATTTTTTTTTTAGTTCGTAACTTTTCCCCCATTATATTACAGATACTGATTCTTGCATTTTACAAGGTTTCTATTAGATTATTGTTTGATTCATTAATAATGCAGGGTGGCTTGCAAAGAGATACACTTGGGAGGCTACAGAGGATGGAGGCTGAGGGTATTGGAAGCCTTCATAATAATCCTAACCTTCACTCAGCTCTTGTATGTTATGCTGCTCCACGCCGGCATGTTCAGCACAAAGTACGGGCCCGGGCACAGGGACCCGGAGTACGCCGGACCCGGCACTGGCGAGGCGGTCCCCAAGGGCACAGCCAGGGTTTAGTGTTTCTCGATGATGATGATGATGATGATATAGAGTGCGTATAAATAAGATGACGGTTTCTTGATTACTGTTTTAGTTTTGTTGCGAGAGACTTGTGTGTTGAGAGTGTAGGGTTCATTTTGTTGGGCTTGAGTTTGTAAGTACATGATGTTGTTAACTACTTTAATGGTTGGGGGCCTTTTGGTTAGCAATTGTACTGATAACCAAATGTAAAATGCTGGAATGAATTTGCTCATCTTTAACATCTACTCCATTGTAAATGGAGGCTTATTACCGGGTCACCGTAAAATAAAAGCAAAAATAAATAATAAGTGATGTTTGTGATTAAAAAATAATAATAATAATAATAATAAACCCTTCTTGGCCTCGGAAGACCTGAGCGCAAAACAGCGTGGTTTAGCGATGGCTTCAAGTATGATATCTGAGGAAATGCGTCATGGAAGTAGAAACTCATAATTTGTGATAACAATTTTACCAGTTGTACAAACTACATCATTGTGCAATAGGTAAATTGTACCAATTGTACAGACTATATAATTGTACAATAGGTAAATTGTACCAATCGTACAAACTATATAATTGCGCAATAGGTAATACCTGGAATTGAACTCAACACCGTGAGAGCCATATGAAAACCTTCTAATTATTCATGAGATCCGTCCGATCACTCAAGAACCATATGGAAACCTTCCAAGGATCACTCAAGAACCATATGGAAACCTTCCAAGGATCACTCAAGAGGAAATCTTCCGTGAGAGTTATATTGAGACCTCCCAATCATCCGTCCGATCACTCACGGTGAGTAATTATGCTACAAACTCTATACGACCTACCTGTAATAAACAAGACACAAAGTGTGGAGTTACAAGAGCCTCATAATTCGTGATAGCAGGTTCGCTAGGAATGACCTTACATGAATCTAGTAGAGTTAGCCACCAGGCAAGAAAATGTAATTAAAGAACAAGGTGGACAAACCAAATTACTGAAAGATGTTAACAGAATTACGCACCCGCGAATTATACCTGCATTCAATTATTTGTAGCGAGCATGAGATTTCATGAGGAGAGGCCAGAATTGAGCCAGGAGACTCTCCGGTAACAGCAGCAACTTCCAGCAGTGCAGCAAACCAGATTCAAGCAGAGCCATAACCCTGCGTGGTAATTTCTCAGATGTGTAAAAGGTAAATGTTACTAATGGTTCAGAATCTTAGATGCCCGTCCACGGATCGAAACAAATACTCTGGTCGATCTGCAGATGAAACTCAGAAGCCAAAGAAAACTTGCTCGCAAATTTAAGCATATGAAAAACATGGTTGCAGGCTATAAATATCTGCAGTTTGAAACGGGTGCATGAAACTGCGTAATTTCTTTCGCAGAGCTTTCTGTCTTGCAGAAGAAATTTTCCCCACAATTAGTAGTACCATGAATTTTTACCCTAATAATGAAAAAGGGAGGAAGTTGCGTCCATAGTAAACTTCATCAAACTCAGGTGTCATTAAACCATCCTGGTTTATGTTTTGAACTTGCAGCCAAACTATCAAAAGAGGAATGCAGAGTGCAACCGCAGTTGTGGTCACAGGAAGGACCTCTGAAAACTTTAAAAGCTAGATATGGGACTAACTTCCTATAGGTATGCATGTAATTCTGTACTCGATTTAAAAGCGCGACACGTGAATGTGTCTCAAGTGTCAAGTACCATTGTTTTTGCTTATTTAATTTGAATCCCACGACACAAATAAGTGCTGGGAGTTGAGAGGATTATTTTAGCGTCGTCTGTGTTCAATGTGTTGCAACTCTAACCACACAACTACCTGTGTGGAAAATTTTACATCACAAGTTGCAACTTTTTTTGTAGTGAGTGTTCTCTTCAGGAACATACATAACCGAGGGAGAACAGGCTATCTGCGAAATCATCGAGAATTCTACGTTGATCTACTCCATAGACCATTCCAGAACTGGGATCACAAGCATTGAAAAAAAAACATATTTTTATCATAAAGTCAGTGCATCAATGTGTTCGATACATGATAATCTTTTTCCTTCCATGATTATGTTACTTTAAAGAGCTAGATATGCACTATGTAAATGGCATTATGATTCAGTCGCCTAATTGAATATCCTCTACTATAATAACCTTATAAAAACCCGTTATCTTGCATCTTCTGTCTAGAATACCTTTCCCCATTCCACCCCCACCCCCCCCACCAACCTCCCACCCAAAAAAAAAAGGACGGCATTTGATGGTTACATGGGCCTGATATGCATATTATTGAATCTGATATTCTTATACATATACTAATCTTAAGAGTCTTGTGGCGACAACTTTTCTCGTCAACGATTACCAAATTTTAAAGATGGTCTTCATTACTAAGTTCATGCTCATTATCCTCCTGTGGCAGTGCTCTGTGTCTAAGTGGTATCTAGTGAAGTGGCAGATAATGCACAAAACTTCACGACACGGTCAATAAGGCAAATATGTTCCTTTAGCTTGAGATTCTGTGAAACATTCAGGTCATGAAGTCACGTTAACAATTGACAAGTCTATACTACAAACTCCTTATCATTGTTCAAGTTGGTGTATTGCAAAGAGAAAATAATGTTGGTAGCAGTACAAAATGAAATAGTTCCTGAATCTACCTTCAATTGTGGAGTCTGCAGAGTGGCTGGCCTAAACTAGAAAGGATAATGGCAAACCAATGTGACCATCTGAGGCACTAATTCATTCAGTAGCCCCTGTTACTATTGAAATTAAACTTGATTTTGGATCAAGCTTAATTTTGGGTTTATAATGGAATTATTCTAAGTTTGACCAAACCCAAAATTAGGTCCAAATTCTAGAGGTTTTCTAGAAACACTCTAGAAGGTTGATCACCTCCTTAAAGTGTTCTAGAGAAATCTTTAAGCTAAATATCTAGATAATAGTATAGAAACATCTAGATAATTTGTGATAAAAATATTTAGATATTATGTAGAAATTTCTAAAGATTAGAAAAATATCTAGAAACCATGGAGGTGATATTAGAAGAATCTAGATCCTTTGTAACATATCTTTGGGAGGCTATACCTCCTCACCTCTCTCATTTGTAAGTAAGAAGAAAAAGTTGAACAATTGAATAAAGCAAGTTCAAATAAAGAGTCTTCCTCTTCATAAGTTCTCTACATTTCTCTAAAAGTCTTTCAATACTAGACAAACAATATTAGTGGTAAATTGTTTGTTAAACATCATCAAAACAAGAAGGCCAACAGTATTACGGTCTTAGGCTAGTGTTAAGCACTATCGGTGATTTCTTTACATGGTATCAGAGCCATTCTAATCTTGTGCTCTTCAAGATCTGGGTTTAAAGAGAGCTCGGGTTTACTCTAAGTATGGAATCAATGGGTCGTGTCGTTGGATTGGGAATGAAGATCTTAAACCAATCTAACTACCGGTTATGGAAGTCTTGTATGGAGTCATACTTGGTTAGTGAGGACTTATGGGATATCGTCGGCGGTAGCAGCACAACACCACCAAGGGGAGATGCTGCAACAGCGGAAGCGACAAAGGAGTGGACACGGAAGAATGCCAAGGTGGAGTTTGCTTTGAAGAGGTTAATATCTTCAGGACTATTTGAGCATGTCTCAAGGTGTACATCCGCAAGTACTATTTGGCAGGCGCTAGATCAATTGTTCAACAAGAAGAACGAGGCTCGGCTACAACTGTTAGAAAACGAGTTGGCAAATGCGAAGCAGGGGGAGTCTTCAATCTCAGAGTTTTTCATCAAGGTAAAAAATCTTTGCTCTGAGATTAATACTCTAAACCCGGAAGAGTCAATTTCGGAAGCATGATTGAAACGGTCTATTATTCGTGGTCTACGACCCGAATATACACCGTTTGTTACTTCCATTCAAGGATGGGCTACACAACCTTCTTTGGAGGAGTTCGAAAATCTACTAGCTTCGCAAGAATCACTGGCCATGCAAATGGCGGGAGTTAAAGTCCATGATGACTCAGGGAGCGCTTTTGTAGCGCGGAGGCAACAAAGCTTCAGAGCCAAACCCAAAGATGGCGGAGCGAAGAATAATGATGGACGAGAAGGATCTTCTACGGGAGACAAGAAGCGATTCAAGTGTTATCGGTGTGGAAAACTTGGGCATTTCAAAAAGGATTGTCGAGTCAAGCTGAAGGAAACAAATATGGCGGGATCAAAGGGTCATACTGAAGACGAAGAATGGGGACAATGTTTCACGGTGGAGGCTGCATCTTCAGGTACATCCACAGCTAAAAATCTTGGAAATAATTGGATTATGGATTCTGGTTGTAGCCATCATATTACCGGACACGAGAAGTTATTTTCTAGTCTTCAGCGTCATGACGGAAAAGAAGCCATCATTACTACGGATAATTCAATCCACCGCATTAAGAAGGAAGGGACAGTAGTTATTGAAGGAGATGATGGAAGCCCAATCACTCTCAAGAACGTATATCATGTTCTTGGAGTAAGGAAGAATCTTCTCTCTGTGGTGAATGCGGTTGACTCAGGTAACTACGTTTTATTTGGCTCAAGAGACGTTAAATTTTTAAAGAATATTAAAGAATTAAAGGCGGATGTGGTTCACACCGGAGCACGGGTTAAGGATTTATATGTTTTATCGGCCTCAAATTTCTTATGTTGAGAAGATGAGTACGAATGATAATGCCTTTATATGGCATGCTAGGCTTGGTCATATAAATATGACTAAGCTAAAGGTTATGGTGAATAAGGATTTGGTTAACGGGCTCCCGAAGTTGAAGATTCAAGATGAAGGAAAGTTTTGTGAAGGCTGTCAATATGGAAAATCACATAGGCTTCCATTTGACAACTCCACTTCACGATGCAGCGCTCCGTTGGAGAGGGTCCATAGTGATTTGATGGGTCCGACGAGAACATCCTCCTATTCTGGGTTTCGGTACATGCTACTGTTTGTTGATGACTTCTCACGGTACACTTGGATATACTTTGTGAAGGAAAAATTAGAAGTATTCTCCAAGTTTCAAGAATTCAATGTTACCGTGGAGAGAGAATTAGGTCAGAAGATCAAGACTTTAAGGATGGATAATGGAGGGGAGTTCATGTCAAGGGAGTTTCTCTCTTTTTGCCAAAAAACATGGTATCAAGAGAGAATTTACATGTCCGTATACACCTCAGCAAAATAGAGTAGCGGAAAGGAAGATAAGACATCTAAGAGAGACATG